GTTGCTTAAGTCACTTTAAACATGTTTACCAAATTTGGTCAATTTCAATTTTGGTCACTCAAATGTTATAAATTGGCTATAATGTGTTACCGACATTTTTATCTATTCAATCAATTGTTTTAATAATTTTAATAATCTAGCTGCATTTTTAAATATAAATAAATAAATGAATTATCTATATTGTCATATTCCTACCCCTACTGCTATTTCAAGACTTGTTACTGACTTGTTAAACAGATCAATGCTCAAAATGTTCCTTGTAAGCATTTATCTATCAAAGTTTGTGTTAAAAATCCCAATTCAGTCATATTTATAAAGGCTGGGTCACCTTGTTGCACACCCCTTTAGGAGCCCTCTCTAGTTTACCCTTACACAGGGCTATTCTGTTTCTTATATGGCCAGATGCTCTCATTTATTAAGACTTCTTTCCTGATCTAAGATAACTTTCTGGTAAATCAGTCCCTCTGTATCCAATCTAGGAGAACTTTTATGAGAATGTATAATCGTATTACCCTCAGAGATTGTTGCCCCCTCCCTCTCTCTCTCTATTGGTTTTACCAGGGAAATAAGTACAACTTTTTTTATCAGACCTGAAAACTCAACATGAGAACATTTAAAAACAAGAACACAAATGTGTACAAAATGTCCCCACCTATGGGTGATCCTGTCAAATGGTTATCCTAAAAATGAGTAGACAAGACTTTACCGACACAATTTGATGACGGAAAATCCAAAATGGCCACCTTAAAATTTACCTAGAATGCCAAAAAACTAATCAGATCTAGATTTTCATACTAAGAATCATCCCTGAAAATTTGAAATTGATCTACAAAACGGTTCACCTAAAAACACGTAGACAAGACTTTACGGGCAGGATTTTAAGACGGAAAATCCAAAATGGCTGCCTTGGCATTTATCCAGAATGCCAAAAAACTAATCAGATCTAGATTTTCATACTAAGAATCATCCCTGAAAATTTGAAATTGATCTACAAAACGGTTCACCTAAAAACGCATAGACAAGACTTTACGGGCAGGATTTTAAGACGGAAAATCCAAAATGGCTGCCTTGACATTTATCCAGAATGCCAAAAAACTGATCAGATCTAGATTTTCATATTAAGAATCATCCCTGAAAATTTGAAATTGATCTACCAAATGGTTCAGCGGGAAATGCGTAGACAAAACTCTACAGACAAGATTTTAGGACGGAAAATCCAAAATGGCTGCCTTGGCATTTACCCAGAATGCCCAAATACTAATCAGATCTAGATTTTCATACTAAGAATCATCCCTGAAAATTTGAAATTGATCTACAGAACTGTTCACCTGGAAATGCGTAGACAAGACTTTACAGACAATATTTTAGGACGGAAAATCCAAAATGGCTGCCTTGACAATTACCCAGAATGCCAAAAAACTAATCAGTTGTACATTTTCATATTAAGGATCATCCCTGAAAAATTGAAATTGATCTACCAAACAGTTCACCTGAAAACGCGTAGACAAGACTTTACAGACAAGATTTTAGGACGGAAAATCCAAAATGGCTGCCTTGACATTTACCCAGAATGCCAAAAAACTAATCAGATCTAGATTTTTATACTAATAATCATCCCTGAAAATCAAGAATTGATCCACCAAACGGTTCACCTGAAAACACGTAGACAAGACTCCACAGACAAGATTTTAGGACGGAAAAATCCAAAATGGCTGACAATAAAAAAGTGATCATGAGTTTTTGCTGATTTCTTTTTACAAAATTATCACATATAAATACTGTTAACAACAACATAGGCTTTAACAACAAAGTACATCTGAAATTATTTATAAAGCTACTAAATAGTTAGAATATGAAAACTCAAAAACACCATTCAATATGATACAAAGTATTATCGTGCGCTAACTTTTCTTAAGACATTCAAAATGGCTGACATGACTGAGCTAACAGGTCCAAAACCTAATCAGATCTAGAATGAAGTGAGCTGAACAAGATGTTAAAGTTTTAAAAGCAACTGTGAAGCCGTTTTTCTTAAAGTTTGCAGACAAGGATTTTAGCATTTGACTTCAAAATGGCCGACAGGAAGTAGGTATGGAGTTAATTTTTTTTCATCCACATCTGTATGCACTCATAAGTTATCCCTGAAAATTTGAAGGTGATATCTGTAGCGGTTTTGGAGAAAACTCCCGGACGTACGGACGGACAGACAGACGGACGGACAGACGGATGGACAGACGGACGCGCCTAGGCCGACAATATGGCCCCACACTATGTGGTGGGGACATAAAAATGAAGGCTAATGTGAAGGAGATGTTTGCAGTGTTGTAATGAATTGTATTGATAAATAGGGATGCATACTTTTAACGCGGTTGTAATTTACTGAACGGCAAAAGTAGAAAAAATCAGAACATTTTGAACTGATTAAGATCTTTAAATTGTGAAGGTCTGAGTAACTGGACCTCTTAGAAAACATCCAAACATATCAAAAAGTGAAGATGGGTCAATTTGATTCTCGTTTCCGAAGATATTAATAAAATAGTTAAATGTTCTGAGTTTTTTTAATGCTTTAAATTGTTCACAATTCTAAATCAAGAAGTCGCTCGTATTTCTGTCGTATTTAGGAAATCATGTTGCGGAAAATCAGTGCACAGTGTTCATGGTGTTGTTGTAAAATTGCGTATATGTCGTTTGAAACGCTCTCTAACGCAATTTTATTATAAACTAACACCTTAGGGTAAATTTTTTGCTCGAGGAATTAACTCATTTTCATCAATAAATATTAACCCATCAGGTTTTCTACTAGTAAACTAACGTTTAAACCTCAGTCTATTGTCGTTATCACTTACTACTAAACCCAAGTGAGATATGGCTCTTGCCTCAGCACGAGCCAACTAGGCAAGTAAGTACTAATAATGGGAAAAGTAATCCATAGAGGACCATAATTCTAAACTTTCATAAAGTTCTCAGGCCAATAGCCATGACTTGCCAAGGGGGGGGGGGCACTTTTTAAAAAATTCCAGGGGGGTTCACTATTGACAACTTTGACCCAAAAATGGCCAAAATCACTTGGAAAGTGCTCAGAACTGTGAAAAACTGCATGATTTTGAAAGAATTTTTGGCCAGGGGGGGGGGGGAGGGAGGGGGGAGGGAGGGGGGGGAGGGGGGAGGGAGGGGGGGAGGGGGGGGGGTGCAAGACTGTTCAGGACTGTTCTAAATGATCTATATCTATTGAAGTCTGTTTCCTCTCTTCAAGTCTATGCTTGAATAAGATAAACTTTTAGACGTAAAAAGTGATGATAAGAAATGATATACGAGATAAAACAATTACAAACCTGAGAAGAAGGCTACCTTTCATCAACCACAAAAACATCCTTACTTTTTTATCAACCATATTTATGACATTGTTATCACTTAACTCAAATGACATATGGTGTCATATGACTTCACCAAACACAAAACAAAATGGTAGATTTGAGATCTCATAGTACGTAAGTCCTTATCAATAAGGCTCACCAAAATCTTTGAGGTTAGATAAGGCCAACTTTTTTTTCTTTTTTTAAATATTTACACTAAATTGAGGTAAGATAAGGCTGACTTTTTTACGATATTTACAGTACATTAAATTGAGTAAAGGAACTCTGTGGGGGTTTAACTTCTTTAAAAAGTCAACAGTAACTGACAATATTTGATCTTTTTGCGAAACAGGATTTCTAGCTATATATTCTTTAGCTGACAACGATTTCTAGAGTTATCTAGGAGGTTGCCATAGAAATCAAAGGTTGTGCGAAGCAATGGTAACATGTAAGGGGTTATGAAGATTATTTTTATATCGGTTTGAGAGTTTTTAATTGGTTGATGATGGTTTCTAATTGGTTGACTTATTTCTGGAAGTTGATAAAGGTTTCTAATTGCTTGATTGGTTTCTAGGGTTGATGAGTCTTTAATTGCTTGATTGGTTTCTCAGGGTTGATGAGGGTTTCTAATTGGTTGACTTATTTCTGGAAGTTGATAATGGTTTCTAATTGGTTGATTGGTTTCTAGAGGTTGGTGGGAGTTTCTAATTGGTTGATAGGTTTCTAGGGGTTAATGAGGGTTTCTAATTGGTTGACTGATTTATGGAAGTTTATAAAGATTTTTAATTGGTTGATTGGTTTCGAGGGGTTGATAAGGGTTTCTAATTGGTTGACTGATTTCTGGAGGTTGATAAAGGTTTCTAATTGGTTGATTGGTTTCTAGGGCTCAAGAAGGGTTGCTAATTGATTTCTATAGGTTATTATGTACTATGGGCCTATTTAGGTGTTGCTAGGGAAATATGAACAATTACAAGGGACTATAGATTATTATTACATATCAAGTATATCTTAACCTTGTTTTTTCCGATTCACATGATATGAGGTCTGAAGAAACATATAAAGGTGGAGAAAAGTAGCAATTTGTGAACTTGAACTTATCTTTCATTTTAATTCACTAAATGTAAGCTTTGGCAAAGTGGCCTCTTAAGGACTCCTCGAGAAACACATTTTTATAACCCAGAATATGGAAATGCTCTTCAAAGGTGGAAAATTCTGTTAATGGAAGTCAAGTGGGTAAGGTTGAACTTGGGTGATACAAAATGGTTCCAAACATGTTGACGTGATGTGATTTTTAAACGATTGAGGCAGAACAAATAAATCCATATAAATGTAAACACTCGTATGACAGGAATTCCATGAAAAGCAGGCAAAGTGTGATTTTCTCTGGTTGTTTTTATGAAAACTGCCTATTGTTTTAGGGGTTTGAGATTCGGCATCGAAAAACCCGCACCGTTTCAGCACCGAAACCTTTCGACACCAAAATTTGGCACTGGACTAGTCTGTCCATTTGGTGCCGAAACGGCGTCGAAAATCAGATTGCAATTTGGGGGTGTATGTTAAGATCACAAAGAATTATCTTTAATTTAAAGAGTGGAGAAAGAGTTTAGCTCTTGTGAAGGGTTAACCAATGAATATGTATCAACTGACCTTTCCCAAGTTTCTGGCTTTAAGAGATCTGCTTCAACGAGTTCAAGTTGGTGTTCAGCATCAGGACAGAGCTCTTTTAGGGGTTTTATCTTGGCCTCATTCTCCAAGCTTCGTACCGTGCCTCGTACCCTATAGCCCGACGTCTGCAACTGTTTGATAATATGTGACGCTATAAATCCCGACGCCCCTGTCACCAATACCACTGGAAACAAAAAGCAATGATTAGTTAGGCCAATCTTTATCTCAACTATAAACAGATTTAAAATAGAACACCTGAAAAACGGAACACCTGAAAAGGGAACACCTTTAAACGGAACACCTTTAAACGTAACACTTGGAAACAGAACACCTTAAAAGAGAACACTGGGAAACATTTAATACCTTAAAACAGAACACATGGAAATATTAAACACCTGGAAACAGAACACCTGGAAACAAAACACCTTAAAAGAGAACACCTGGAAACATTAAACACATTAAAACAGAACAGCTGGAAATATTAAACACCTTAGAAATGAACACTTGAAAAAGAACACCCTCAAGTAGAAAACTGAAATTAGAGCAACTGAAAATATTAGATACTTTAAATCATCACATACATGTACTTAATCTCTTCTTGCTTTTCCTGGTCTGGCATTGTCGTCTGCAGAAGATATGTTGCATTATGGGTACAAGCATAGCCATTTGATCTTCAACATAGCCAAATAAATCAAATAATATCAAATGAAAAATAATACTCGCAAATGTCCTCTGGGAAATATCATTGTCTGATGAAGTCACAATGACCTGCAAGAGACTGTCATAATACCATTGATCATATCAATGTATTAAAACATAACAACTGCTGTTATTGTATTTTTACAGTGAAATATTACTACTTGATAAATACCATTTTAATGCATATTAATACATCGTGTCTATGACTGTGTATCATATAGAAAACATGGTATTTTATAGCCATATATCTACTATTTTATTAAACAGTGTCTCACTTCTTTTTTAATTCCACATATTATCGATTTTGTTTAACGTTAGGCTATTTTGTTACGAAAAAAGTGGAACTATATTTTATAAGTAATTTTCCTAATCTACCCTGGATCAAAATTAGTAAGTGATACTTCCTCTCACTATTGCAGATGATTTTAAGGTTTTGAAAGTTTGTTTAATAACAAGGGTAAGTGAAGGGCCTTGTTATTAACAAAATAGATAGAATGTAGAATTTAAAGGACAAAAATGCTGATACAACCCCTTCTGCAATCTGCTACTCATACTGTAGCATCTTTCTGTTTCACTTGAAACTCAGGGCTGAGGAGAAATGAGATGTCATGGTTCATCATGATGCCCCTTATGCTAATATTTTAGCATGTATTATTGTATATTTTAACATATAATATTGAGTATGTTATCATGTAATATCATGGATTTTAACATGTAATATCACATATTTTAACATGTAATATCACATATTTTAACATATAATATCACATATTTTAACATATAATATCACATATTTTAACATGCACATGTAATATCATATATTTTACCATGTAATATCACATATGTTAACATATAATACCACATATTTTAACATGTGCATGTAATATCATATATTTTAACATGTAATGTCACATATTTTTACATATAATACCACATATTTTAACTTGTACATGTAATATCATGTATTTTAACATGTAATATCACATATTTTAACATGTAATATCACATATTTTAACATATAATATCACATATTTTAACATGTACATGTAATATCCTGTATTTTAATGTCATTTTACATGTACTTATTCAACATGTAAAGAGCACCACTGTTATAAATAGTTTATATTCATATAAATAAATGTAACTTGTATAGGGTGTTATGTAATATCAATTATGTTATCATGTAGTAGTGTTTATTTATCACAGAATATTAACAAGATGCTGCATGAGAAAAAAAGATGAGTAATATTAAAATAATATAAAATAAATAAAACTAAAATAACAAAAATGTAAAAATAGAATAAACCCTATCCTAGCAAACACCTCTCTAATAAACACCTTGCTTTCTTAAACACCCCTCTCTTGCCAACACCCTTTTCTGGCAAATATTCCTCTTTAGTAAACATCTACATTTAGTGTTCACCAACATCCAATATTGAACCTCTCCATAGTGCACATACTTCACCTTTATAAACACCTCTTTAGTAAACACCTCACAAAAGTGAAAACACCTCAAGAACACCTACCCAGAGAGCACCTCACCTTGCAAAATACTTTTTCCCAGTGGCTACTTTATATAAATACTTACCTTAACTAGATTAACTATAAACATCGCTCTCTTAAAATTGTTAACACCTATTCTAGTGAACAAATCTTTATGAACACACCTATTTCTAAGGAGCAATCAGCTTACTAGCTAAATAAATTTCACACAGACAGAAATGTTGAAAGCCCAATTCCATTTCCAGAAATCACAGAACATATTACAGTGTTACTGGGAGTACAGACATTGAATTACAATTAGGCTGAGGAACAAGTTGAGAAATACACTTTAATACACAAGTTTTCTCCCAGGGCCTTTTACTACGTAGAGAATAGCAATTTTCTAAAAATTCCCCGGGGAAACATGAAACTCATGCAATTTTAAGAAACTATTACAAAAATCCATTTCCATAAAGAACCATGAATCCCATGCTAAGAATGCCAATTTGGTCAAATGATATATCCGTCTGCCCAAACATTTTCCCATTTTTCTCTCTAGAATTTGAATGAGGATTACGATTTTCTTGCATTTTTTTACAATTAAGAGTGTTAACTACACGCCTGTATAATTTATTCCTTACAGAATACACTGTTTTCCACTATATTTTACATTTCAAAATGTGACCATCTTGCTTGATTTTCTTGCATTTCTATACATTTTTGAGCTTTTGTATATTTTATTCCTTCTTTTACCATTTTATAATACAACCATAATGGCATTTCACTGCATGAAAAAAAGAATTGTTGAAAATATATACGTACATTCCGGATCCATCTTTATGAATTGTACAATTTTATCCGAAACTTCTGATGTAGTCCTTTCCCGCTGCACGTCTAAAATATCCAATTATTAAACACTGTATAAAACATGAAATTTCCAGTCCAGGAAAGAATGTAAATTATTGCGGCTAATTAATCCGATTTCTTTGAAGATGTTTCGGCTAATTGCACAGTGTCTAATTGGTGAATTTTGCCAAGTTGGTAAAATATCCGTTCTTTATCTTTATGACACAGTGGGGTTTTGCTTAAACTGTTTCCAACTGATGGTTTGAATATGAATCACACAAGTAGATGATACACTATCTAAATCATATGACTGAATCATGCATTCACTAATGGTTCGAAGGGTATATTTGAATATCAGCAAAATTCCAGATTTTTTATGATTGTTTGTTTGTTTAATTGTTTATTATATGCTGTGAAATGAATGTAAATGGAATCATTCATGAAAAAAGTTCTGCCCTTTTCTAAAGCTTTCTCTTTTTATGCCTATTTCACACTATTTCTCTCTAGAATTTGAATGAACTGTTTGATTTTCTTTTATTTCTATACAATTTAGAGTGTTAGCTACATGCCTGTTTACTTTATTCCTTGCTGATTCCACTCTTTTCTCTCTAAAATTTGAATGAAGTGTCCGATGTTCTTGCATTTCTATACAATTTAGAGTGGTGACTACATGCCTGTTTACTTTATTCCTTGTAATTCCACTTATTTCTCTCTAAAATTTGAATGAAGTGTCTGATTTTCTTGCATTTCTATACAATTTAGAGTGTTGACTACATGTCTGTTTACTTTATTCCTTGCTGATTCCACTCTTTTCCACTCTATTTGGCATTTTAAAACATGACTCAATACAAGGGTAAATTGACAATTGGTTTAATTCAAAATGATCAATCCCCATAATTAGTATGTACTGAATACATTCCCTTTAATTAAGTGTAAAAACTACCTCTCAATATTTACTTCAAAGGCTGCTTAAAATGTTAATTGAGATGTAAATATTAAGAAGTTCATTGATATGAACATGAGCATTAAGTCAAGACCGAAAAAAATTAGACATTTTGAAAGAATGCAATGTATGTGTACAATGACGCATAATGCAGAAACCATTTTAATTATCATTTTGTACACCGCAATAAAACATTTAACTAGTACTGCATATTTGTAAAATATTAGAGTTATAAAACATGAACTTTAAAAGCAGCCTTGATCATTGCATCTCATATTCAAAAGGCAACTGTAAAAAATCAATGTCAAACACTATTTTTACCTTTGGTTAATTTATTAAAAATTAGATTGATCAAAAAACATAATTGCATGATTTAAAAAAGGAGATTCATTTAACACATCAAGTTTAATCAGAAAAAATCTGGAATTTTAGCCTGCAAAGTTTCTCATGAATTTATAAGGCATGTCGCCAGACTTGCAATTATCATATGTAAGTTTGCCAAACCTGACTGCTCCCTATTTTCCTAATGAATCCTAGAACTAGTTTACGCAATGAAATGTTCTTTTTCTAAGCTTATCCTACATTCATTTTCATAGTTTGTGATGCCGAAACGTATCTTGAGTTTGAGAATGATTAACTGTCTCAAAATGAAGAATTTTCTAGTTACTATGGTATTTTTTCTCCTGTGACTGCAACAGAGCGATTTGAATAATCCTCCAGTTTACCACAAAGGAGATAATACCCAGAATTCAAATGATAAATCACATGACACAGATTGACCAATCAGAGGAGATATACTATCATCAATATGTGATCTAGTCAATGGAATGTGTACCATCACTAATGCATCTACAGACAGATTGGCATCTTGCTTGTACCCATAATGCAACATATTTTCTGCAGACGACAATGCAATATATGCCAGACCAAGAATTGAAGCTTGTGAATTTTCTAGCTTGTGTATTGATTTTTCTTAGGATGATTAATCCTTCCGTATTCTACTGTAAATGAGTATGTGTATACCTGTTCTCACTATATCACATTACGCATATACAAGTATTTATTCTGCCTTTTCTCTCATTTCTCTCCGAAATCTGAATGAACCGTCTGTATGATTGATAATTTAGACTATGTACTTCACCCCATAGTTAACACATATTCCTTGCTATCAATCCTGTCGCATAATTTCTATCATGAATCTTACATTGCTTTAT